ATATATATATATATATATATATATATAAATTTTTTATATATATAGCACCTCCCCCACAGGCTGTTGGGAGGTTTAAATCATGATCTTTAATTGTGGTGCATTCTAAAGAGGTTATTCCCTGCAATAATTTCAATATAAATTGAAGACATAATACAAAACACAACTCAGTAAAGGCATTAGGAGTTTGGGGGTAACAGAAAAGAAACTGGTTCCCTAGAATATTCCCAAGACAGAATCTGGAATGTGTGAGAGATTTGGTGGATGTATGTCCTTCCAGTTATTCCCCCAAGTTTTGTAGGGTTACCCAATATCTGAGCATCTTAACCACTGTTTTCCCTATCATTTGCTCCTAACAAACAATTTAAAGAGTCCAAAATAAATGTTGTACTATGGGAGTTTTTTTGTATTAATTTTTTTGCTGGTATCTTCCAGGTGATAAAAATATACCCATGCATCAAAAAGCAAGTCAAAACCTATCAATGTTTCTATTTAATAATTCTTTCAAATACTATATACCTCTTCAGACATCAAAACCACATTAATTGAGAGCCACTTTTCCAAAATATCTCCATCGTTCCTCTGATACTCATCACCCCACCGTGCTCAGGTCTCCGTCCCCAAAGCTTGCAAAGAGGCTCACCTGTCCAAGCTCTTCATTAAGGTTTGAGGTCCTGGCCATTGCAGGAGTGTCATTTCCTAGGTAATACATATCTGTGTCCTGAGAGAGAGAATGGAGCAGGCAACTCAGAAAATATATACCATTAATCCTTCATATAGGTTAACACAAAAAAGAATCTAAAAACTAGTAACTCAGTATAAATGCTAATTTTTAATTTGGGGGTGAAAACAGCAGCTCTTAGTATAGAAAAACAATGTGATACAAGGAGAAAGCATGGTATTCATGAACACAAGACGTGGTTTCAAGATGCCCATTTCATGACCTAGACTAACTCATACTTCTGATCTAATACCTTGTTTACAGGATTGCTGTGAGAATCAAATAAAAATGTAATGAAAGTGACGGTAGACAACATGGGCTGCTTCATGGACACATGGCACTTCCTTCAAATTTCATTTCCACTCTTACAATAGAATCCAAAATACCATCACCACGAATTCTGATACATTATGAACACCGAAGTAGGCATGGCTAAGAGAGCTTTCCTTCAACACTAATTAGACTCTGAAAGCATGAACAGCAGCTACAGCCACTTCGGCCCCACTCACCAGAAGCCACACGCCTTCTAGGCATTCTGTCTCTACTGTCTCACTCGGTCTTCACTAGAACTACTTGAACAGGTTCTACCATCTTCCTCATTTCACAGACCAGGAACATGGGATGTTAAGTGACTGGTCAGTGTCATCACTAGCTCAGGGACACCCTTGCCAGGTCTCTGGCTGCTTTCACTCCCAGACTGAATTGTAAATTAGCTATATTCTTCCTCCCCTGGGAGCTCGGTCAAATGACGAGAGCTTGGAGAGAGTATTAGAAAATAGTGGTGGACACCTCTCCGGCGATCTGACTTTTAAACTCCTGGAATACTCACCCAGTTTATAAAAAGGGCTTGAGTGTATTTCACGACCTCAAGAGTCACCAGCAGACTGATGGGGATAAGATTGTTGTACAAGATGATGAACGTCAGCAAGTTATATCCAAAATTATCCGAGCTGGTCTCTGTGGAAGAAACCCAGAATATCTGTATAGCTTTAGTGGATCTCCATTCAGTTTTCGTTTACTTTTTTTCTTACTTTGAAATTTTTCTAAAAGATGTGCACCCCAAAAAAAAAAAAAGTCGACTGGCTTATGTATAAATGTAGAGATTCAAACTAAAATAATTGTAAAACCTACTATGTTGTGCAAACTGTAATACAAAGACTGTTGTGATACCGTCCCTTCCAATAAAGAGCTGGCTTCTACTAAGAGGTGTGGGCAAGGGGAACAAGCAGAAATAAGCGTGCCCCTCATCGTGCCATGCAGCAGGGCACATCTACTAAAGAGGAGTTCATAGTGCATTGAAGAAACCAGGACAGGAGATGTTTCCATGGGAAGCCCATGGTCACTGAAGGCCAAACAGAAGAGGAGAAGCTTTAGTTAAGTTTTGGAGCAGAGAAGACAGCTAACCAAAAGGATGCAAAAAGAGAGGAAAGGCATTTGAAGTGGCTGTAAGGAATGTCTAAAACCTCACTAAGGTATGAGTGTATTTGGGAAACTCCAAAGAATTAGTAAGGGGAAAAAAGTATGAACCAGTAGCAAGCGAAGAGAGGGAGGTGGGCAAGACTTGACCCTATTTATTAGAAAGAATGTCTGATGACACAAAACCCCTCAGAGGCAGAATCCAAAGCAGAGGCAGGGTCAGTGGACTGGAGAAGGGGCCGCAGGAGGGGGAGAGGGACAAGGTCTGTGAGTATCAAAAGGAGGAAGTTCTTTACCTGACGACCATGACACCCTGGGTGAAAGCCAACGAAGTAAGATCTTATTACCTTGGCAAGAGGTTGGAGAGGATTGCAGCAGACTAAGGGTTTGACTAGTGTTAAAGATGCCTTTGACGGGGAGTAGAATTATAATAATGATAGCGGAAGGTGAGGCGTGGAGATTGGGAATGTGCAATGACTTCAAACCACAGTTAGTGAGTTTTCCCCCAGAAAATTAAGTCAAAGTGTTAAGCAGAAAAATAGATATGAGAGGGGTGGAGAGAGAATAAGGCCAGTAAGCCTACTAAAAGGGAGTTAACCAGATTAAACTAGAAAGTCAGAAAAGACTCACAGAGTTAATATTCATAAATTAATCAGGTGAAGCTCCAAAGGCCAGAAATAACTTGGAATGTCCAGATATTCCCCAGATAAAGAAAAGTATCCCAGCACAGCCCATGCATTCACAGACCTGCTCAAAGGCCCAGTTTATTCTTTAACTTAACCTTTACGCTGTTTTTGACTCCTCCAGCCCCTAATCAAGTAATTTGCAACCTGGGCAGGAGACAAACATCATGGGTAACTTTTCCTGCCTATGATGAAAAAAACCCAGAGATAAACAGCATAGTAAGAACAAGTAAAATTCCATCTTAAAGCTAAGATTCCATTTCAAAAGCCAGGAAGTTAGGAAGTAAGATTCCTAACTTACTCTTTAGCAAACAGACAATAACTCAGCCCACCTTGGAGGCAGGGCAGGTGGTCTTGATTAATACGTTCCCAGAGGGAAGCTGCTATCCTGGGCAGGAACCAGATCAGTAAATTTCTTGTTAATTTTGCAGAATTACTTAAAGGACTGATAATAGAAGAGAAGAGACTTAATGTCTGTTACCAAAGATCAACATCTTGAGACGACTTGATAAGTTTACACCCCCTAGTCCTTTGTCACATTCCTGTAAAAGCCTTAAAAGGGGGAACCCCCAGTCTTTCAGGGCACCTCCTCTCAGAGGACACCCACACTTTCTCTCTCTTTAAATAAAACTTTTCAACCTTTCAGGGGGCCTCCTCTCTGACGACATCCACACTTTCTCTCTCTTTAAGTCCGTAACTTTAAATAAAACCATGACTCTGCCTCAGTAGTGCACCTCTGCCCTTCAATTCTTTGTTGCAGCAGGAACAAGAATGGAGGAAAATAAACAACCACCCCCTAAAAGAATGATGGTAATTTGATTCAGATTTAGAGTTTTGAATAGGAAGATATAGTCCTGGCAGAAGATACAGGTGAGTAGGTACCAGTGGTCAGCAGTTTTTTTCTTTCCACCATTCCTTCATTTTCTTCTCACCTATAAGGCTTCCTTTTCTCCTGATGATCGCTTTTCTTCCTGACATGTTTCCTTTTGCTACTTTGTTCTACTGAATTCAGTAGGTCGCTAATCATGGTATCTCAGTACCGACAGTTAACAAATGTCCCTGAGGTATAACATTTGTTTAGAAAAAAATATCTACCTGTCAACAACTAGAATTACGTATTAAGAAAGTTAAAATTTCAAATTTTAAATATAGGACAAACATAGCTTCAAGTGTAGGGAAATTCAGGGAAGACCCAAACCTAAGGCAGAAAAAAACCCTAGAATGTTCTAGTCCAAAGCCAGGAAATAAAGAAGTACCAAAAAAAGAAGAGTCACCACCCCTACGCAAACCAGTTCAGCCAAACAAAGCCGATGAGCACGGACAGAATCCAGAAGGAACTGAAGTCAAATTTTCAACAATGACAAGGCTAATGTGAAGTCTGATGGCTTTCCCCAGGGGTACTCTGACTTTACCATAAGGATAACATGACGGAAAGCTGTTCGGATCAGACAAAAAGACAATTTTTCCAGCATAAATCGTGCAGCTTGTACTGGAGTCTGACATTATTCGAGCAATTTAAATGCCAGTTCCCACAAAGCCTGTATACCAAGATAGTGTCCATACTGTTAAATTACCCAGACCATGACATTTTAAAAGTATCCATACATGTACACAAAGTATCAGTCAGTGTTCACATTTGGATCTGGACACATAACATCATTCAAATACAAATTCTAAGAGCCAATACCAAGGGATTTTGATCCCACCTACAGGTGAAATCACAGTCACATAGCCCATATTCATAAAGTAACAACAGGAGTTGTCCCAGGCAACTAAAAGTGTTTGAGTTTTCTACATCATTCAAAAAGGAAAATAAATGCTTCAATTAGATTAACTAAAATATACTGAAAAGTCGCAATAACAAAAACCAGAGGACCCCAAAGTTTTAAAGTTCAAATTGATTATTCAAAATTTTTTTGTCATAAATTCTGTTTTCTAGAATTGCACTGTAAGGAGACTGGCAAATCCATCAGAAAAGGAAACAGTAAAACTGGACAAAACTGTCAAAAACAAGCCTTCAAAGTGCTTGAGAATAATCATTGAGCACACAAAGATTTCAATAGCATGCATTCCAGAAAATCAATTCAGTCCCACTACATGGTAGCCTTTGGCATTTAGACCAGAGGCTTTTTCCCTTCTATGCTCAAAGAACCATGTTGCTTAAGTCCTATTGCGGATGGGTGGTTGGGACGGGCAGCTCTCATCTTCTCCCACCCCACCTCCATGTTGCAGAAATTCTACCCCAGAGCGGGCTAGTCTGCTGCTCCAGAGTGAGGCAGGTGGCCAGGGCAGGAGCTACCTGAGGGAGCTGACATCAATTTGGAGCAGTACAGGAAGACAGCGTGCCAAGCGCTCTGTCAAGAACAATAGAGAACCTGGAGGGTAACAATCAGGGAAGATAATATCTTGCAATACTAGTAGGAGCAAACAAAGCAGGAGACCAGCCATAAATTAAGCAGGAAGATGCTGGGAAGAGATGGCCAAAGACACCTTGCTAAAATCACATTCAACCCTGGTGGTCCAGAAGGTCGTGTCCATGTGCAAGGCTGCACCTGTCTACAGAGGCCAGAGGGGGTACTTTTGAGCTACTAGTCCCTGATGGAATGTGGGCCAGGCTTTAAATTCCCCAAACACTGCAGGCTTTCCCAAGTCACACGCACATCAAACAACAAAGGGACTTAAGCAAAACCTAACTGTCTCAAGGGGTTTAAGCATAACCGCTCACTGATCATTGGCAGCCCTCCAAGCTCTGCTGACCCCTAGGAATCCAGGCTTAAAAGTAAAAACAAGGAGAGGAGTGACTGCTAATGAGGACAGTTTCTTTCTGCAGTGATGAAAATGTTCTAACCTTAGGTAGGGGTGAGCGTTGCAGAAATCTGTGAATATATTAAAAACCACTGTATACCTGAAACTGTACATTTTAAAAGAGTTAGTAAAAACATGGAAATAAAACTGAGCAGTAACATCAGAGGCTGTACACTGCAGAAGAAAACAGACTTCACAGAATTAGTCCAGGCAAGTCACTAAGGAAATAAACAAAAACAGCAACAATGAGCCCAAGGAGGGGGCGGAAATCAGAATCCAGAATTGCTGTAATATATTTTCTAAAATGCCAAGTTTTTAACAACAACAATAAAAATATATGAAACATACAGAGACAGAAAATAAAGAGCAATAGAAACTGCCACTGAGGGGGGCCCAGATGATGGACCAAACAGACACTTCAAAGCAGCTATTATAAATACATTCAAAGAATTAAAGGCAACTGTTTAAAGAATTAGAAGTATGATAGCAATGGCTGATCAATTGGAAAATATTGAGAAAGAGAGAGAAGTTTAAAAATAATCAAATGGAAATTCTGGAACTAAAAAGTACAATAATTGAAATGAAAAAACTCACTAGTGGAGCTGAATAGTATTAAGCTGGTAGAAGAGAATAAACTTGAATATAGATCAATAGAGATTATCTAATGGGAAGAACAGAAAGAAAAAGGAACAAAGAAAAATTAACAGAGCCTTAAAGACCCGTTCAAACCCATCAAGTGAACCAACATACAGATAATGGGAGTAGCAGAAAGACAGGGGAGTGAGAATGTGGCAGAAACACTATTTGAATAAATAATAGCTGAAAACTTTCCAAATTCGATGAAAAAATATTAGCATACACATCCAAAAAGCTCAACAAACTCAGAACTACTGAAAACAAAAGATAATTTTGAAAGCAATAATAGAAAAATGATTCACATACAAGGGAGACATTGGTAAAATTAATAACTGACTTTTCACCAGTACAGTGGAGGTCAGAAGGCAGTAGAGTGGCATATTCAAAGGCAAAGAATGTCAAGCAAGAATTCTACAAGAATTCTTTCTGTATCAGCAAAACTACCCTTCAAAAACAAAGGAGAAATTACGACATTCCAAGAGAAAAACTATAATTTGTTGCTATCCAATCTGCCTTATAAGAAATACTAAAGGAAATTTTCCAAAAGAAAGGAAGTGACACCAGACAGTAGTTAAATCCTCATAAACAAAGGGCAGCAGTAAAGGTCATTATATAGTACCTATACCAGACAACAGAATTACATGTTTCTTATCCTTTCTTTTGAATTAAACACAAAAATCAATGACAAAAAGCATTATGAAATTGCATTATTTGACTTAGATACAGATGTCATAATATATATGACAGCACAAACGAGGGGAGAATGAAGCTACATCAAATGAATAAATGACATAAGCTGGCAACTCAAATCTACAAGAAGAAATGAAGAGTGCTACAAATGATAAATAAGTAGGTTAATGTAAAACAACCCTATAAATATATTTCCTGTTTGTTTTGCCTCTTTAAGAGGCATAAGATTATAGAAAGCAATAAATATAACACTTACTGGGCTGATAACATAGATGTATTATATACGATGATAATAGCACAAGGCAGGGAAGGAAATGGATTTATACTAGAGTAAAACTTCTGTATTTTACAGAAATTAAGTTAGTATTAATCTGAAGTAAATGCTGATAAATTAAGATCTCCATTGTAATCCCTAAAATAACCACTAAAAAAAAAACTCAAAAAATACCGTTAAAAAATAATCATATGGGGACTCTCTTGTCCCGTCCTGGCGTGAGCCAGGAGCTCTGTCCTTTCACTTCATCTCTAAATAAAAGCCTGTACACCTTGCTCTCCTAAAAAAAAATAAAATAAAAATAATCATATGACTATAAATAATCCCCAAATGTGTCCACCGTCACATCAGCACATGGCCCCTAGTCTTTCAGGTCTCCTTGCAAGGCTGGCATTATACAGAGTAACAGAAGAGAAGACAAGGATGATACATGGCCACACACAGAAACCACACATGGGACAGGCTTTCAAAAAGGGGTGTTGCCCGACTTCCATATACAACCCATGCCAACACTTACCCATCTTCGTGATGTACCAGTTCTTTCCACCCTGAGATCTGTTCCAGTACAGGGCCCCCACGGAGCTCACCAAGGCCATGACTAACAGGAGGCCAAATAACACCAGGATTTGTACATTCGTCACTTTTTCAACATTTGATCTCTTGAGAGGTGCTTTTGTGGAATTCTGCAGAAGAGCATTTAAAATCAGTAAGAGTCACAGAGCAAACTGGGGGAAAGGACTGGGGAGAAAGAAAGACTGTATTTTTCTGCCAAATAACCAATGAAATTAAAACGTACACCACACTCCTGAATCAACCCATAGTTTTTAATATAGAAGACAGAAGACACACACTACCATTTTAAGGAAATGTAAGATATACATTTCAACTCTATATGATTCACTCTGTACTACTTATGATCACATTTTGGCATAAAATTATCTACTTCCACCATCTCCCAACACAACAAGCTCTAAATCATTTAAGTTCAGTTTAGAAGAAATCAGGACGTTGCTAATTCAAGGGAAACTTAAAGATTCTACACTATAAAAATCTAGACACAATCTTCAACGTAATACATGGGTCTAGAACTAATGAATAAATAGGTATTTCTGAAGTACATTATTTGCCCTCTGGCATCTCAAAATTTAATTGAGAAAAAGAAGACATACACAAACATAGACACATCAATAATGCAAAACAGAACATCAATAGACATCAAAATAAGTGGATGGACAAAGAGTTCAGGTGGAAAACTATGGAGGGAAAACCAGCAGGAAAAATCAGGAAAGCTCTAGTGGGTCTGGAGAAATCTGAATGGAATCCCGGGCCAAAACAGAATGTAGACAGGAAAGTAAAACAAGGGTAGAAAGGCACCTAACCATCTATAAACTGTTCGGGGGCAGGGCTGGAGGTTGGGGGTAAACACCAGCCCAGGTAGAACAGAGGCCAACCTTGGAAAGTGAGTTCAGAAATATCCATTAAAGCCAGATTTAAGGACCACTAAGCATCAGGTGGTCACCTCGGTGGTGGAAAACAACAGTACTGGTTGCACTAGACACTTAAGCACCTGAAGTCATCTTATTAAAATTTTCTGAAGGTAGTTGTGGGGGCAGAGGAACAGTCCCCAATAATGTTCATGCCTTAATATCCGAACCCCATGAATATGCTAGTTTAAGTGGTAAAAGGGGCTTTGCAGATGTGATTAGATTAAGGACCCTGCCTTAGGGAGACTACCTTAGTTTATACAAGGGCCAAATTTAATCACGTGGTCCTTAAAACCACAAAAAGGAGAGAGCCTTTTCTGCTTATAGTCAGGGAGATGTGACAACAATAGAATGTCAAAGAGATGCCACATCGCTGGCTTTGAAGATAAGGGAATGGGGTCATAAGCCAAGGAATTTAGGCAGCCTCCTGAAGGTTGGGAAAGGCAAGGAACAGATTCTCCTCGAGAACCTCCCAGATTGTTCTGGAAAGGAATGCTGCCCCACTGACATCATCATATAGGTAAGACCCATATCAAACTTCTGACCTATAGAATTATATCATAACAGCTTCATGCTGTTTTAAGCCACAAAGTCTGTATAAATTATTAATGGCAGTAATAGGAAACTAATACCGTAATACAGCCAGGTGGAAATAATCCATTCCTGGAGGTGAGCAGAGCCGTGATTCAATCAGAAGCCAGGAAACAGGGGAAGACGCATATCAGGGCTTCAGTCTACAGGCACCTTCCGGGAGTCATGAGCCTTCTCTCTTCACAGGCAACACTGATTTATAAAGATCAGGTGTCCAAAAACTTGTAAGGCACTAACTGGCCACAAAAACAGTGCCTTGTGCCAAACTTAGGTCAGTATTCTCTTTCACTAGTCTCCATTTATCTGATCGTGAAAAGACCTAGTAAGAAAATGTCTCCAAATATAAGACTGTGAATAAAGTCCCAAGGTGAACATAAAATCAAGACTAAAATGGGAGGCAATTCGTTCCTAGGTTCCACAGAGAAGCTCATAGCACAGCATGGCTGAGGCTGCTGTCTGAATCCTGTCACCAAAGCCAGAAATACCGCTCTCGCGGCCATGGTTTTCTGTGGGGCTGGGGAGCTGACCAACTGTTATACTAGCAGTTTGGAAAAGTTAAGCCCTCTAAGTATCTAAACAGCACAGCAGTATTTTCCTTTATATACTTTTTCCTCCTTTTCACTGAATTCTCTCTCATGTTGAATCAACCACGAGCACACACTGAACTACTACTATGTGTAACTACACTACACATGAAACAAGGGCACTGTGAGGCGTAAAAGGCACTGGTGAGAGTTTAAAAAACAAAAATCACACAAGTAGAAGAGCCCTAAAGGAACCATGTTTCCTCTCTGTGGTCAGGTAGCACAAGTACAGACGGAAAATGTAATTTCACAAACAGGATGGCTTCTGGCTAAGTGCTTTGTATTCCCTTTGAAAGCTCATTATTTTAACTTGTTGTTTTAGCCCTAAAGGCACAGCAAGTCCAGCCCAGATGTTTCTGGGGCTTTCCAGCATTCAGGACTCGAACAGGCAACATGGAACAGGCCGTGCAAAGAGGTTTATTGAATCTAGATGCAAGGAGAAGTGCCTGTCACACTCACGGGATGCAAGGCAACTTCATGAGGCAACTCAGTGCGTCCTGCGTTCACTGAAGAGATGATGGGATCGATTTTACGTGTAATTTTAATTATCCCTTAAGCCTTCGCTACAAAGCTGTATTATAATGCATGATCTAGAAAACCAGTACTATGCCCTGAGAAAACAACAGTGTACAAGGAATCTTGCAGAGCAGTTACATTTGTAATATGCACCATCTACCGACTAGTCTTGGGGCCCTGCCCGAATCTGAGCTAACTCCTTGGGATCTCTTGGTCACATCATCATAGAGAGCAGACGAGACCTGCAGTCGGTGGGGCTCCCAAAGTGCCAGGCAGTGGCTGCCAGAACTGGACTTGGGAAGTCAGGACACTTCCTAGGTGGCGGAGCACTAAGCTATTCATCAGGATCAAGTTTTTGTACACAGGCTGTTCAGAATCAACAAACGCTGAACTTTCTAACCAGTGGGGGTGAATGGGTGAGGACCTAGGATGAAGGAGGGTTCAGGTCCATCTCAGACACACTGAATAATCTTGACCCATCCCAGAACTGCGTCTCAGAGGTCACCCGTTCATTTGTCCAGCTGCCGTGGATCCCCCCACCCCACTCCACCCCACCCTGTTCCCCCTACACTCCTCCATGACCATCCCACCACGCCTCAGGCCCTACCTTCCAGGACCAAACCCTCCCCAGATCCTCACCCTCCTTCAGGAGCTTGTCTCCTGCTCCCGCTTTACCCAGCTGAGGGCACTTCCCCCTCTCAAGCAGAGGGTGCCCCAGGAAAGACTTGTGTTCCTGTCCAAGTCAGAGCATCACTGAATGTATGTATGGGGCCCAGTGATGCTTCTCACACACCATTCCTCTAATGCAATGTTTAAAAGCCCACCTACAAAATCCACGCTACACCACCTTCTGGCTCTTTCCTTAGCAAGGCCAACAGCCTCGCAGTCACCCGCCATCTCTCTCTGCAGCTTTGCGCAATGGGCTTCTAGCATCTGCCTCTACCCAGCTTTGGCAGGATTCTGTCTTCAAAAGCACAGCACCGACCCATCGAATGCCATGGCCTGTCAGTCCTTTAGTTCCCAACAGCAAATGGCCTCCAATAGACTCCTGTCTCCTGCCCCCAAGGCTCGCCCTCAGATCTCCCCATGCCACAGGCCCCTGACTCCCGAGCCACAAAGTCAAGCACCTGACACACTGGCCAGCCTGTGACTCAGCGACTTGACACTCCTCAGTGTCAGTGAGTCTCAGTCCTGCGAATCCTCCCGCCAAGCTCCACTGCCACCCTCAGCTGGGAGGGACACTGGGGTCTGTTACTTCAGCTGTCCTGACAAATACTTTACTCTGTCTCCTACATCATTGCACCTCAAACAGTACACCTGTGCAGCAGCTTCCTTCCCCAACTCCCTATCTAATATGTGGTGCTTAGTGTCTAGTCAATGAGACACGCTAAGCCTGGGATCGTTGGGCCGTCTACATGTGCCCACAGCCCTCTGTAATGACGCATGTCACACAGACCCCTCTGCTTTGTGATTCCCAATTACCCCTTAGTCTGCGTGGCCCCCCGAGGGTGAGACTATGCCTTTCACTATCATCTCCGTACAGCCTACCTAGCATAAGACTTTGTGCACGGTGGTCACTAAGTATTTTTGGGAGAAATACAATCAAGTATGTGCTTTGGACGCTATACGAAAGGGCAGACAAGCTTGAAAGCCAATTCTCATTAATAGGGACCATTAACAAAATAAGGTGTCAAGTAATACCAAAGAAATGTAAGAAATGACACACCCATAGGGACACTGACTTATGCAGAATTTCAAAAGCTGTCTGGCAAAATATGTCATAATATATATATAGGCTATAAATTCACAAATGATAAGTTTTAAAACATTAACAGGGAGAAAAAGCAAAATAATTTTACTTTAGTATTTTTTTGGCATGTGAAGAATAAACATTAGCTCAAAAATAGCTGATTCTAAATTATCTAGAATTCAGTTAAACAAGACAACTTACTGTAAAACCTTAATTAATGGGGTGGGGAGGAGAAATAAAAAAATCATTAAAAAATCCCCATTTAAGTCCAAAAGATAAGTTAGAATTTATTGTCTCCTTAACCCAGAAAACAAAGACCAGTGATATTTCAAGCAACAGGTAACAAACATCTGATACAATAATAGAAATTCAGGAGAAACTATCTAAAGAATCAAAATAAAGGCACTTTCTTTCCAAATTTAAGTTCATAGACAAACCTGACCTACCTAAATGCAACATCTTCATTTCCACTCTCTACTCCATAAAACAGAAAGAAAGAAGAAAAAAAAAAAAGACTAAAATCAGCATTGTTTTTCAGCAAAGAAATGTTTTACCTGCATGAGTTTGGTGTCGTGTCCAGTATAAACAACTATGCCAAAGACCCACTGAGTATTTCTAAGCTGTGTACCTCTTAATAAGATCTGGTCGGGCCCAAGGGAAACAGGGCTAAAAATAAGAAACAACATTTATATTTAATAATAGTCTGACAAATGAGCATGAGTTTTCCCCTTAAAAATCAACCCACAATCAAATGTTTCTTTAGTCAAATCTGAATTATTTCACTGAGAAACGGGGCAATAATGGTTACCACTGACTTAATTTACCAAAAAAAAACCAAAAAAACAAAAAAGACCTAAAAATGGTTTCTTATCCATTCAGCACTACATAAAAAATAATTGTTTTTCCTATACAATGTTAGAGGGAATTGTGTCTCTTATGACCCTGCCAGCGACATTCACCGCCCCAAAAGGAAATTCCTACAATACCCAGAAGCATGTTCATTTAGAAAACCCAGTTTATTTTGTAGACTATTATAAGAAAAAAAAAAGCTGTGATATCAAATTTGTCAAGGATGCCTTCATGATGAAATAAAACACTGTGTGATTTAGAAATTGGGAAGTCTACAGAATGGCTCGACACTGAATGAAATCAATCTAAACAGCAGGCACACTGCGTTGTCAGAGGTATTTGGGGTTGATTCCCGTGATTGGGTCCTTCCCTTAGGGTCTGTGCAAAACAGGAAGGCGGGAGACCTTGCTAAAAAGCATACAGATTAAAGATGGGAGAAGATAGAAGCTGCACCCCAACATAATGACAAAAAGTGACTCTGCAACACTAAAACAAATGCCAAGAGGAAAAATACTGACACCATAGAGACAACAGGGCTGCGAATATTCTCAAGGAAGAGTAATTGTTGTTCTTTCCATTCAACTTCCTAAAAACAAATGCTACTTAGAAGAATGTTAGCCAAAGAGAGAGAGAGAGAGAGAGAGAGAGAGAGAGAGAGAGAGAGAGATTTCTCTAGTAAATATATTTGCTCTTAGATACCTCAGACACCTCACTTCTGCTTTTCTGGACAGTTTTATCCAGCTGAAACCAGCTCTCCTCCCTAGCAGATAATACACAGAAAGAGGCAGCACTGCGAACCTCATTTCACACCCCCTGTTTTTTGTGGCAAAAATTAGTTCTTTCCTTAAATTTAAGGGAAGGTTTAAATGGATTGAAATAGTGTTTGAACAGAAGCTGTCTCTCATACCTAAGCTAAATATCAAGAAATCCCACTGTTTTAAAATACTATGAAACCAGAGAGCACACTGATTATTTTCCAAAACTCCAGTAATTCTTAGTCCCACTAAAAAGAAAAAAACACACACACACACTCAGAAAAACGAGAGTGATACCTTTTCCCATCTAAGTGCAAGTTCCCAGTGAAGTCGTAGAGGTGGCGGTTGGGCCCCTCACATTCTATCGTGCCGGATAACTTCATCAACACTTCCCGGGTCTGCATGTCAGCAGTGTGACTCAGACTCTAAAATGGTAAACCAGAAGGAGATACTGAATACAATCTTTTATATTATAACATTCGGCATCCCCACTGTTAATCTAAAGGAAATAAGGAAAAATCTAAAATGAAATCATTTGGAGAGGCTAACAAATCAAACTACCATCCCTCAATATAGACTTTTGACAGGCAGCTCTTGCCACTATAACAATGTAAAAGTTTCAAAAGAACTCAAAACAGCAGAAAGTTAATATTCTACCACTGTGCTGGAAATATCCATGTTTTAAGTAACAACGCACTCCAGCACCTTACAGAGAGCATAGGCTAGTAACTGTATTCCCACACTAATCATAAAAACACAATAAAGTAGCTTTTAAATTCAGCATTCAGTAACTCTTGTTTAGAAAAAAGTGTCTAAATCAGATATCTAATGTACCAAAGAAATATATGCAAATGGAGTTATCAAATTAACTTTATGCAGCAGAGAGTTTAAGTGTCAAATGCTTGTCAAATGTTTATTAAAGACTCTTTTTCATTCTAGAATTAAAGTATTTGGTAAGAAGAGCTTTACTTAAGATACAGAAATTTTGTATCTAGTAACTGCTTCCTAGAATTAGAATCTCAATAAAACAATAGTGCAAAGTAAGGAGCTTACCTGCTGCATCACCCACTGTGGGTGCTTCCCTCCTGCATCACCCACTGTGGATGCTTCCCTCCTGGCCACAGAGCTGCCCCTCGCCGAGGAGCACCCTCCCGCCTGCACCGACACGGGGCTCAGCAAGAGGGCAACTAAGGCGTGACGTCCTTCATGACCCAGCCTTGGATGAAGCCCACTTTTTCTAGCTCTGCTGTCCCTCTGGAGTCCCCTTCATAATAAAGGCACATTCTTCCTATAGACTCCACAAGGGTTAAGGTATAACCATTAGTAGCAGATTTTTTTCCTGCAGAAAACTACTCACTGGTACACAGAGGGCCCAGATTTGCAAGGTGGGCTCTGTAACAACACCAGTCATGAAAGACGGCTTTACCTGGCGTATTTTAAGGTTCGTCTCCCCATCTAGATTAGCTGTTTCAACATAACACATTGCCTGGGGTTCACTAGAGAGAGAGAGGGGAAAAAGGCCAAGTTTAGTAAGGTCCTCTACACAAATTATCCACAATTTATAAAGTCTCTGCTATGAAAATTGTGTCTGCTGACTGGCCCTTCTAAGTGATGTTATAAACAACCACTTCAGTAGCAGTAACTGACTGGAAACACAAACACTCATCTCTGGGGCTCAACACCAAGCTGTCTGCCCAAAGATCCATCCTTATGGCCCCCGCCCCGTGGCTGCCTGGCCTCACGCAGGCAGAAATACCTGAGATGCATGAGAAGCGGGGGGTGGGCTATAGGAAATGTGTGGTACCCCAGCCAAGACATGACCACTGGGTTTGGTGACACTCAAAATCTGAGACTCAGCCCGTTCCTGAGCAAAAGAGCTGGCCTGGGCTTCTGAACATCTCCTGAAGAAAATTACAGCCAGTTGAGTTCAGGAACTGAGATATAACTTTGACAAGCCTTCTCTTCCTTGCACTTTTTACTATGTCAATAGGCAACTTTGTAATCAAAACACCTAATTTTAAGGACAGAAAACTCAAAGAATAAAAAAAAAAAAACCATAGCAGATATTCTACTACTTCTTCTGATCTTTGGCTTTAGGTGGCACAGTCAGTGGTTGACAGAATGGACGTGGCAACCCACTGGCTGAGTTAAAATATCCTGGTGCAACTTTTCTGGCCTTGGAAGTTGTTTAATCTCTGTTTCTCTGTTTTCTCACGTATAAAGGAAGGATGTCAAAGTTTTTTGGGGAAGATTAAAGGGATGGATGGTATCACCAGCAGGCTGCTTGCACAAGTGCAGACTCAAACACTAGGAAGCATCTTGAAAACATGATAGCTCACAAGCAATCTCATGTTAACGCCAGGTGTTCTGAGGGTCAGGGCCAAAACTCACATCCCAGACCATCAAGTAAGCTGCATTTTACTATTTCTAGGAGTTTGCTACCAACCAACAGGGACAACCATGAATCCCATCCCTTGTATATGGTGCTTTTCCTGCTCTGGAGTCCTAATTTTAAACACTTTATCTTTAGAAGAAAACTCATGCTGAGGCTTAAAATCTAATGTGTAATCAAATCTCCAGTCAGAGAAACACTGTCTGGAATCAAAGAAAATGTAAACAGTGTGAGCATCTATGATTTCCAGCAGTGTTTTAGTCTTAATATCATATAATCTTGAAGTCAAGAGTAGAAGTTTATTCTTACCCTAATTTTGGCTTTCCTTCTTTGATATATATTATACATTTATATATCAAGCCAAGGAAGAGTCAAGGACTGTGCTGTCCACAGTTTTCACCTTTAACGATGACACCTTTATAGCACAAAACTACCTAGAGGACGTGGCGATGATATGTAGGCGGAAAGGGGCCAGAGGTGGATGAGTGAGGAGCAAACACCCCCTGCAGTTCTTGTCCATGCTCAGAAAGTGGTCACGGTGCTCTGAACAGCTACTGAGGGAGCCCCCAGGTTCTGTGGCAAAGACAGCCGGCCGGGCCCGTCAGGAGACTGGCTCTAGAGCCTCAGGCAGGCTGCAGTGTGCATCTGCAGCACGAACCCCTACATCTGCCTGAAACAAGGAGTGGCCCACAATAGCCAGGAGACTGAACTGAACCAATAAATGTAAGAGAGTTCACAAAAAGGTACAAAGGAATAAACAGGAGAAGGGAAACTTAGGATTAAGGCAGCAAAGAGCAAAAGACAAATAATGGAAGAACGGGCTGGAGAGAGAGGATGGCTTCTCGGGAGGAAAGGAAGGGGCAGCTGGCAATGTCTCCTGTCACCACTTAGGCTTTTACCATTCTTAACATTTATTCTAAAACATGTGCCCACTGGCACACCTGACCTGGTGGATAGCAGGACCATGTCTGCAGGAAGATACTGCCCATTGACGATCTTCACGATGTCCCCCACTGCCACCTAGAACACAGGGGCAAGGACAAGCGGGAAAGAAAAGAAAGCACAAACTTTGATAAAGGTGGGTAAGTATGTGAAGACAAATTACTATATAGCTATGCTGCAAAAGTTAAGCCAGAGGAACCCCAATTATTTTCCTTCACAAGAACAAAAGGAAAAGCTTTCAACACAGTGGTAACATTGCCTTCTTGCAATGATGCTGAATGAAAAAGAAAAAAAAATGGAGGGAGAAAGGAGATGTGTCAGAACAATGATCCAGCTCTCATTTTCTGACAAGTATTCATCAAGCCCCAGAGCTTGAACTCTGGGGCAATTCCACAGCCTCACGCAGTAGGAGAGGGAGGTGAAGTGCGCGGCTCCGGGGCTGGCCGGCAGCCTGGGCTCAAATCCGCCCCGCTGTCCTCACTAGCAGTACGCAAACTTGAGCAAGTTTCATAAATTCTGTGCACCTCAGTTGCCTCATCTATATAATGAGGTCAACAACACACATTTGATGGGTGCTTGTGAGGAGCAGCTGACTTAACACAGGTAAATTTTCTCCGTTTTATAAATGGGGAAACTAAGGCTCAAAGACAAATAATGATCATGGTCACATAGCCAGTGAGTGCTGGTACCAAGATTCAAAACAGAGCAATCCGGCCAGCGAGCTGATTCAAAGGCACTAGTACTACATTCATCCATGAACAGTATATCCTAAAGGTCCCCCAGAAATACACCACATAAAACAGAGAAGATTCATACAGTCCCATGAAATTGCCAGGAAAAGGGTCAGGGCCAAAGTTGGAGACCAGCTTGGGAAACAAAATCCACTAGGAAGCAGACCCCAAACCAAGGAAACAGGTCCCAGTCTTCAGAACATGAGCATCAGGGCCAGGGGTCTATACATCCTTTATAACATCACAGAAGCACCTGGCTGGGACGATGGGCTTTTAAGTGAGGCAGGCCTCAGCTCAAATCCAAGCTCCACAGACACACTAGCTCTGGGATCCTGGCCAGCCCTTCACCTCTCTGAGCTCCCGTGTCCTCACTTATGAAATGGGTAACACCCCACTTACTCTGCAGGGTCAATGCAGACTGAGGAAGTTATGCAAGCACCTGGCATGCAACTGGCATGTGCCAAGTGCTAGTCTCCCCCAGTGTGCATGGAACCGAGCAGGCACTGCGAGTGTGAAGACCAAGGATGGCAGAACCTTGGGCGGCACAGGAAGAAAGGCCATTCCTAATGCACTAATAACTTCAGAACTCAAAATGAGCCCTGTTTTCTGTTCCTTATTCTAACTCATGTTAATATTTATTGGAAATCAAGACTTTCAAATGATGTAATAGTTGCAGAAAATGACTGGATCTTATAAGATAGGAGAATGGCATTGGCAGGTGCTTATATTTAATTTTGTATTTGGAAAAAAGGGGATTTAAAAGGAGTCTTGCTAGTGCTTTGAATTGCTTGTCCATGTGTGTGGGAAAGTCTAGGAAATCTGGCTCAATGTACAGAAGGTGGTAAAAATTAAAATTCCAGAATCAATGTACATCTGAAGTTAGTAACCAATTAAAGGGCAAAAAGAAGGCATATAATTAAAGAATATTCCACAAGAAAGAACAAAGAATAGATGCTATAGAGCTATTTTAATAACCATCATTACAAAAGCAAAGAATACATCTGAAAATTGAAAATGTTTTTTAAATATAAAAATATTTTATGTGAATAGTTTAATTACATAGGCAAAATTCAGAAACAGCAATTAGTTAAAAAAACTAGAAAGGAAAATTAGTCAAGTTTTCAAAAGAAAAAAGGCAGTGGACTTCTTTTTTAATTCAAAGTGGGAGGACAAGGTAAATGATGGCTTTCTTCCATCTTTATTATTTAAATAAAGAAACATGTATATTTATATCCCAATATCAAAGTACTAAGAAGTTTCATGTACATGACGTACTTTTTTCTTGGAATTTCGTTTGAAGTTGGTTTTCTTTTCGGTGGTCCTGTGCCTGGCTGTCCCTTGAGTGTGTGAAACTCTCCAGAGTGAGAATTCTCAAGATTGGAAAGCACCCCCTCTAGATCCCAGAACCCGCAAGACCCTTAACTTTAAAGAAGAAGCTCAAAGTTCCTCTCCAAGTCACCGAAGCTGTCGCGATCCACCCAAGACCTGCCTCTCAGTGATCACTGACTATTCAGCTAGAGCCCGGGGGTGGGTCACTTGAGCTGCAGCATTTCAGCTGAGGCACCCACCGCTTGGGGAAGCCCAGGGGGCCAGGCCCACTGCGCCCGATGTCTCTGGCATTGGCACCCTGCCCTCTCCCACGGGCTCACCCTCGTGCTGAGCAGCTCTGCAGCCATGCCTGGCTTGCCCAAACCTAGAGTTTCACCCACTTACCTCTGCCTTGGATGGCATTTCGCTCTTACGCTGGTCCCCTCCTACTCATGCTTCCAGGGAGCACCCCAGCATCTCATGAGGGAAGCCTTCCCTGACCTGAACCGGGAGACTAGACTAGCTGTCCCTCGCAGATGTCCCCAAAGCACCTGCAGCATGCCTTACACAGCGCCCGGCACCCGCTCCGCATCCTGTTCAGCTGCTCTCACCACCACACCAGCGTGCTGGCGTGTGCTCCCCGGAACAGCAGCAGCCTCACCTGAGAAGCTGTTAAGCAAATGCTAGAGCCCCAGCCTGGAACGACCGAATCATAAAGCCTGAGAGTGGCGCCTAGCACTGCTGTACCAGCTGTCCGGGTGACCGGGGAGCCTGCTGACACTGCTTATGGGCAGGGGCCGTACTTCATTCTTAACTGTATCCCCAGTGTCTTAACAGTAGCTGGTATGAGAGCCCCATTTAAATAAACAAACAAATCATTGAAATAAAAATACATGTGGCAAAGCATGTAATAAGTGTTTGGTGTGAGCTGGTTTTTTTCCCTCCAGATATGGGTGGGAAACAGTAACGAGTTTTTGGAGTCTGTGAGGCCATCAACTCCTGGACCCAGAATTCAGAAATAATCGCTCCACTTCCTGCTGTTTTAAGTAGTGTCAACATCTCAAGTCCAAATCATTCTCCACTCCAGCCAGTATTAGTACCTTTTTGGGGACGGGGATGGCAATAGGGGCCTTGAAGAAAGAGGCCATTCCTAAGTACAGCAGGAATCCTTGAATTCCTATAGCATCAGGAGCCTTTCTACCTTCTGTGAAGTCAAGAATTTCTAACTACTTGACCAAGAAACGCCACACTTCCAAATGAGAGTGAGGTCGGTTAATAGTTGCACTACAGGACTTCTGGATTGCTACAACAATTAAGGTGTTATCACAAAACACTTGCAAAGGGCTTATAGTTCTCCTACAGCAAAGCAAAAATAAAACAAAAACTAAAATAAAGGCTGGAGGTACCATATCACAGGCATTCTGCTAATTAAAGATCTAAAGAACATTTAAAACATTGTTTATTAAACACTTAGCCAGAGAAACTATTGTTAAGTTCCCCTTCTTAACAGTAGTTTTCTTTTGAAATCATGTTAGTCAACTTTGAAGCCTGGAGGAATAAGAATCACCTCCCAAAAAACATCTCATGACTGTTAGGAAGGTCCACCTAAAACAGAAACTCACTTAAAAAGCTAATTTTATCAGATTCACGATACCCATACACAGCATATTTCCTATAAATTTCTATTCATCAACGTGAACATCCAAAAAACCAACAGCATTGCAAAGACCCTAGTCCTCATATACCTCCAGAGATGTGGACGTAAACCCTTCTTGCTAAAGGGTTAAAAGCAGCAGCCACTGGTCATGCTCAGTCACCCCAACCACGGAATCAGAAGGGATGGTTTCCTACCCCTACCCCACCATGTGTATTCAATGGTAATCATAAACTCAAAACTCTTCCCATTAAAAATATTAGAAGTGAGAGTGTCCAAAGTTAAAATTTTTCAAAAAAAAAATTAAATTTAGGTTAAGAGAACAGAAAACCACAGAAAATATTTCTTGAATTGGACTTAGAAACTAGAAAATGCCTTGAGATTTCACAAATATCCATCCAGGGCAATGAATTTCGTAACTCCGAACAGAGCATCTTCTAGAAGACACACGTAACAGAGCCAACGGGCATCAGTTCTGAGTAAACCTCTTGGGAAAATTGTACAATGTAAACTTACATCAAATGGAGATGACCTATGTCTTAACACAAGCTTTATACTGCAATCAATACTAGCAATCAATTACAACTCTCCAAATCAATACCTTCTGGCATATCTTTAAAATTTGTTTTTACCTCTTTCCACATAATGGTATGCCACATACCATTCCTTAACACTGAAAAAAAAAGAAAACAATATATCAGTTATATAGTGGTGATAATCAAAATAAAATCAGTTTTCCAAAATCTAAAATGCTCCTTATAAATTTCCAACATGCCATATTCTTAGACATAAAGGTATGCCACTACCAGTCCCCAAAATAGAGCCCCAATCTACATAGCTATAGCCCATACACACATTAATACATACACATAAATACAGACCTATACATGTAAGTGCATCTATTCATATTTAGCCCAGAAGAAGAGAAGCACCACCCCTGCTGTTATTCCAAACACATACACACACACAACAAACCTAATGTTCTAGAAATCAATACTGTAAAAAGTAGATAAAGATAAGTAGGGAGCAATTATAAACCAAGGTTGTAGACTGAACTGTTAATGAACATAAAGTATGTCCTCTGCCAAAAATGACCAGCTTTTCAAAAATTCTAAAATAAACAAATCCTGTTCAAATCTTAACTGCCAGGACTCCCATTTTGTTGAATTTGTCATTTCGCTATTTCTTTAAAGTATTTTTTAGACCATTCCACCCAATTTATGTCAATACTATTAAATACTTATTTAAAAGTCCTTAAATGCAGGTCTTAGTCTTAAGTTTTCTAGTGGAAAAAGTGGTTCCACCTGGTATCTTACCTATCGTTTTCTTTTTGTTAACTGCATTGTCTGCCTTATGTCGCTTCTGTTACAGGGAAGAAAAAAGCTCTTAGATTCAAACGTTCCAAATGAATAATTGAAACAGCAAACAATAAGATCAGGAAAAAACAGGGGGCAAGGAAACCAACCCACAGCCACGCTTGTGCCATAAAACCCAGTCCATGGCCTGTGACCCAGCACCACTCAGGAACTGAGCAGGTGGATGCAGTGCACGGAGATGGAATCTCCTTTGGTTTAAATGGTTATATTTTGGTTCTAACGGTGAACAAGCACTTTGAAGTGTGAAAACTTTCCACTCTTCATTGGTTTTAGGTAAGACTGAAAGAATTATTCAGTAAGATAAACCCAGCAACAAACTGAGTTCGTTTTATTGATTAAGGACTTTTTGGGGGGCAAAGTACCTTTGTTTTGATTTGTGTTAAATTTACTCATTTACCTATTCCCAGAAAAATGTACATACATGTGTATGTATGTGTGTGTGTATGTGTACATGCACACATATGGGTGGGAGACTGCAAGCATGCAGGGGTGGGGAGGGAGAGAAAGGGGGCAGAGGGGGAGCTCAGAGAAAGTGGAGAGAAGGGCACAAAGTGAGTATGAACACGGCTGCAGCAATGAACGTGGAGATACAGTGAGACAAGGATGAGGAGAGAGATGATTCTTGAAAATTAGCTCGGGCACGGCCAGCACAATGCTACTGTACTAGACAGCAATACGGTCCTTCTGCTATCCAAATCAGCTAGCTGTAAAGGGGGGTGTGGGGAACATCAGTGATGCAAGTCAAAGGGGGTTCAGAGATCTAACATTAGAAAACTTGGCTTGAACTACTTCTGTGTCATTGTGCGTGTAGGTGTTTAAGATACTGTGTGTACACATTCCCTCCCCCAAAATACCATCGTGAGCCTTGAGAAGCTAGAGAAGCAATAGACCCATTTCCTGTCTTACATATATAAAAAAAAAAAAGCAAAACAACAGTTACAAGTTACAGTCAATACAATTTGTTTCTTATCTGCAAGCAAAAACTTACAAAATCTTCTACGATCTCTTTGATGCCTGCAATAGTTAAAATAATGATCAATGGCACCAGGGTGGTGTATCTTCCTGTTGGAGATACATCTGGAATTTGCTGCAAGAAAAGAGATCAAAAGAGGGAAGTTGACAAATTAAAGTCCTCGTTTGCAGTTCTGTTGCATTTCTGTCACACCAATACCATTATTTTTAAAACTAGCTAAGTGTTTTACAAATTTTAAAAATTTTACTCAACATTGCTATGTGTTTGGAATAAAGGTTAAAAGTATGACCCTGGGTCCATTTCCCAACACCTTACAGCAGTAGCTAAAGAAAACTCCCTTTATGAAAAGAGCACATTTATTCAGGCCAAAGACTGGATAAAGGAAGCTAATTACATTCAGGTATCATGACATTTTTTCATTAGGTGGTCTTTTAGGCAAAATCTCATTTTGCATAGAATTAAGGTTATGAATTTAAGTAAGTTTTTCGGAAACATTACCTGTAGTAAGGCAATGAAGAGGAAGAAGGCATTAGCAGCTCTTCTAATCTGCTCATACAAGAATCGAGGTAGAAATGTCAGCACGCTGTACTTGGCCGTACTGTAAGGACAAAGAAAAATACTACTATCCGTTCTAGATGCAAATTCTAAAAAGCAAGAAAACAGGAAGTTTAAAAACTTTGCAAGTGATTTTAAAGATAAAATATTTCAAAATTCAGGGCAAGAAAATTGCTGTGAAAACTGCTCTCATACAAAGATTCATGTTAGTAAAAGGACACACCTGATAAGATCTTCTAACGTGATTTTCATATTCAAACCTTGATATATTTGTGTTTATTTAGTGTTCACACAATGGAAGCGGGATTTTAGCCACCTTCTAGGAGCTTTGTGCTATGAATACAGGAAGCATATAAAGATTATTTGCTAAAGGAAAATACATTTCAAGGATCACAAAACAGAAAGTGGTACACATTCCAAATACAGAAAGATGAGAACACTGAAATAAAAAGAGAAATAAAGAAGCACCAATTGAGTAACTCACACTCGCAGATTTTGTGATGTGCTACAATTCCGACTACAAAGCCAGTGATTCAACGCAGAGAATTCGCTCTATAAAACACAGCCTGGGTAACAGGTGTCTGAATGAACAGTTCAATATGTCCCGCTGAATGACCACCACAGGTGTTTTAGCTCAACCTCACCTGAATAAACTCCACTCCTTCCACACACCCTTTACTTGGCCACTTTTTCGTGGGGGCAGGCAGGGATTTTTTTTTTTTGCAATTTCATTGAGAAATAATTGAGCATAAAAGTTATATACAGTATATAACCACTGGGTCAGTTTAAGGCATTCGGCATGATGTCTGACTTACATATATCGTGGATGATTACCACAGTACGTTCAGCTAGTGTCCATCCTCTCACATAGATACAATAAAAAGAAAAGAAAGAATAAAGAAAAAAGGAAAAAAATCTTGTGATGAGAACTCACACATTTTACTTTCTTAACAGCTTTCCTATGTATCACACAGCAGCATTAGCTACGGTCATCATGTTGTATGTTACATCCGTAGTACTTTTTTATCTTATAACTAGAAGTCTGTACCTTTTGATCACCTTCCTCCAATTTCCCCTCCCCCCCACCCTCCACCTCTGGTAAACACAATTCTGATCTCTTTTTCTGAGTTTGATTTTTGTTTATTCATTTGTTAAAGATTACACACATAAGTGAGATCATAGTGTTTGCCTTTCTCTCCTGACTTATTTCACTTAGCATAATGCCTTCAGGGTCCACCCACATTGTCACAATGATAGGATTTCCTCATTTTTTAAGGCTGAATAAGACTCCATTGTATATATACCACCACTTCTTTACCCCTGCATCCACTGATGGGCACTTAAGTTTGTTTCCATGTCTTGGCTATTGTAAATAATGCTTCAGTGAATATGGGGGTGGACACAACTTTTTAAGTTGGTATTTTTGTTTCCTATAGATATATTCCCAGAAGTGGAAATGCTGGGTCAGATGGTAACTCTATTTTTAATTTTCTGAGGATCCTCCATATAGTTTTACACAACGGTGTCACCGATATACACTCCCACCAACAGTATACAAGGGTCCCCTTTTCCCCACGTGCACACCGTCATCTGTCATGTCTTCTCCTCTTGAAGATGGCCATTCTAACAGGTATGAAATGATGTCTCATTACAGTTTTGATTTGCATTTTCCTAACAACTAGTGATGTCGAGCATCTTTTTTATGGATTCTATCTGTTGGCCTTTTGTATATCTTCTTTGGAGAAGTGTCTATTCAGTTCCTTTGTCCATGTTTTAATCGGGTTATTTGGTTTTTTTGCTATTGAGTTGTACGAGATCTTTATACATCTGTAAACATTTATGTATGAGATCTATATATAAAATCAGATAATGGTTTGCAAATATTTTTTCCCATTTCATAGGTTGTCTTTTCAGTTTGTTGATGGTTTCTTTTGCTGGGCTGAAGCTTTTTAGTTTGATGTAATCTAATTTTTTATTTTTTATTTTGTTGTTTGTGCTTTAGTTGTGATATCCAAAAAATCATTACCAAGATCCATACCAAGGAGCTTTATATCCTGTTTTCTTCTAAGAATTTCATGGTTTTGGGTCTTACATTTAACTCTTTATTCTCTTTTGAATTAGTTTTTGTGAGCAGTATAATATATAGTTTCCATTTTATTCTTTTTCATGTGACAATCCAATTATCCCAGTATCATTTATTGAAAAACACCTGCCTTTTCCCCATTGGGTGTTCTTGGCTCCCATGTCAAATACTAGTTGATATATATGCTTGGGTTTATTTCTGGACTTTTGGTTCTGTTCCATTGGTCTATTTGACTACTTTTATGCCAGTACTGTCCTGTTTTGATGACAATAGCTTTGTAGTATAGCTTGAAATCAGGAAATGTAATGCCTCCTGATTTATTTGGCTGTTTGGAGTCTCTTGTCATTCCATATAAATTTCAGGAGTGTTTTTTCTACTTCTGTAAAAAAATGCCTTTGGAATCTTGACAGGGATCGCAATGAATAGATGCTCACACTTGTGCTTCCATCTGGAACATCCTCTCCCATCCACACTGTCTCTGCATGACTCAACTGTCCTTATCTCATCCTCCCATCCAACCTTTCATCTTCCAATGAGTTTGGTCAAATTCACAAAGCCTCTTCTTCCTCCAAGCCAAAAAAGTATGAGGCTCACACCTACATTATATAGTCTCTGTTTTGTATTATATTTATGTATTTATCCTCAGAATAGATTCTGGGAAGAATAAGGATGTTTTCTTCAATGTCACATGCTCCTAGCACATAGCACATAGCAGATCATCAGTGAACAATGACACAGCACGAAGCATAAACTGAGAACCTGCAGGGGTAAAATGAACCAAAACTCCTTTGGCTGTTCATGGGCTTATCCACAAAACTACTTGCTTGACTCCTAGCTCACCTTCTGAAGGTATGGTGTGGAGCCAACTCTTAACTGAAATATATTCTAGCAAGACCATCTACCACGTTTCAAAGACACAACAAATTGGAAGCACCAATACAACAAAGGGGTCAGGAGACAGGACGCTAGAGACGTGTGTGCTGCTGTAAGACCCAGAGCAACCAGCCCTGGAACTGCAAAATTAAAGACCCGAAGTTGCCAACTCAAAAAGCAGCACTGAGCTCACTTGGTGCAGCAGGAAACTGGTCCGTGTCCCGTTCGTTCACTGCCACCACCTCCAGGCAGACCATCCCCAGAGCACCACAGCCCCATGCTCCATAACACACAGTGACTGGAGCCATCCTTACATACAGAATCATTTTCAGCCTCCTTCTTCTTAAGATATTAGATAAATGTGTGACAAATTATATGTCAACCACTTTTAAAACAGCTCAAATTTAAAGAATCTGACACTTGAAAGGATATCACTGAGTTAGCTAGAAAATTTGCCTGCGTGGGCCCCTGCCCATTTATGTATGTCTATGGGGCAATAAGATGTCACGACATCTTATTGTAAAGACGTCGTGCAAGTAAAATTTTGCCCGACAGAATAAACTAGCTGAAGTGAATCCTCAGAATAGATTCTGGGAAGAATAAGGATGTTTTCTTCAATGTCACATGCTCCTAGCACATAGCACATAGCAGATCATCAGTGAACAATGACACAGCACGAAGCATAAACTGAGAACCTGCAGGGGTAAAATGAACCAAAACTCCTTTGGCTGTTCATGGGCTTATCCACAAAACTACTTGCTTGACTCCTAGCTCACCTTCTGAAGGTATGGTGTGGAGCCAACTCTTAACTGAAATATATTCTAGCAAGACCATCTACCACGTTTCAAAGACACAACAAATTGGAAGCACCAATACAACAAAGGGGTCAGGAGACAGGACGCTAGAGACGTGTGTGCTGCTGTAAGACCCAGAGCAACCAGCCCTGGAACTGCAAAATTAAAGACCCGAAGTTGCCAACTCAAAAAGCAGCACTGAGCTCACTTGGTGCAGCAGGAAACTGGTCCGTGTCCCGTTCGTTCACTGCCACCACCTCCAGGCAGACCATCCCCAGAGCACCACAGCCCCATGCTCCATAACACACAGTGACTGGAGCCATCCTTACATACAGAATCATTTTCAGCCTCCTTCTTCTTAAGATATTAGATAAATGTGTGACAAATTATATGTCAACCACTTTTAAAACAGCTCAAATTTAAAGAATCTGACACTTGAAAGGATATCACTGAATTAGCTAGAAAATTTGCCTGCGTGGGCCCCTGCCCATTTATGTATGTCTATGGGGCAATAAGATGTCACGACATCTTATTGTAAAGACGTCGTGCAAGTAAAATTTTGCCCGACAGAATAAACTAGCTGAAGTGAAGCTCATTCAAGAGTAGGGAAAATATATCAAGGTCATATGATAGCTCATGGTAAAAGTTTTCTCAGCTGCAGCTTAGAGGACAAGGTCATATGGAACACCATGCATTCCTTCATGACACTACAACCACTGAAGTAAACAAAGCCAACAATATTCACCAGTATAGGAAATGTGAAAATTTACACACTTGTAAGATAAGTCTATAGAAGGCATCTTATAAGATAGTTTGGCTATAACATTTGAACCCAAGATTCCATCTGCATAAAACACACACACAGTTGGCACATGACCCCCCAACATTTCCGACTTGAGTAAAATACTAAGTGTGCTTTAGGGGACCTACAAGTCTCTTAGTGTCATGAACAGAAAGGTTTAGGAAGGAAAGTGATCCTATTCATGTCAGAAAACCAAAGATAAGGAAGGAGAGGGAATGCATCCTAACTTTTCTTCTAGTTGAACTAGAAAAATGAGTCTAAAGTATTTTCATCCTCTAATAGAATCAGCATAATCAATAATTCAGAGAAACTGACATTCATCCAAGAGACAGTTACTGTGCAGCATTAAAATAATTACCTTAATATACAAACGACCCTTATATGTCCTGTTACAGAGTCAAATACATAAAACTATGCAAAGCTAAAGGCAGCACCCATCAAAATTATCCCACCAGAACAGTTCAGAGCAGTTGCTTCTCAAACTAAAAGAT